ATATTTTGAAAAATGACAAACATTTAATTAACAAATTAATTAAAACATTTAGAAAAATCACTTATATGCCTACTTCAATAATTTAAATGAATTGGCATATCATGTTATATTAATCTGGTTTATTAACTCAGGAAGATAGTAAGCATTATTTAATAATCTGTGAATACATTTTATGATTCCTAAATATATTTTTCTTCCTTAACAGTTTCATATTTGAAATGGCAGACATTTCAGTGGTTCTAAGCTTTACTTCAGACTTAGTTTATCAAACAAGAAGAAAGGACCCTTCCATTTGTAAGAACAAAGCAACCTTTCTTCATTTCCATACAGTTAGAACATGTAGAATTCCTACCACAGATTAGGCTAAGCCTATGATATGAGGAAGACTTGGTCCCTCTTTTCTCTCTGACATTAAGTCCCAAGAAATCTATCTTTGTAAGTCCCACAGTAACTAAGCTCACTCAGAACAGGTTCATTATGTGGTAGCTTCTGAAAATGGACAGGCATGGTGATTATTGGGGACTGAGAAATATGGACAATATTTCCAATGCAGTTCTTAAAAAGTGGAATAATATTGCAACCGTAAAAGCATTTTAGACCTCTAATTAATTTCATGAGGAAAAGATCCTGAAAAGAGAGAGTACTAGGGCCTGAAGTGTGCATGTAAAGCAAAGTACACTGGGTAAATGGTTTCATAGATACAGGAACCAATGGGATAATGTGGATCTGGGAAAGACATAAGGTGTTATGCTCATTTCTAAACTCTGCTTAGATGTCAAACGATGTAAACTTCCAGAAGAAAACTCTTTAGGTCTGCTCAGAGGATAGATCCGAATGCCGATTGTCCGAAAGACAGGCGGTGGGCAGAAGACGAGAGTCTGTGTGGGAGGTGTGAACTTGCAGGTGTGGCCATGGGAGTGAAGCATTTGACCAGATCTAGATGGCGGTGTTAACATTCCTTCAAAAACACAGGTGTTGGTAAAATGCAAGACAGGAAAAGGGATCAAGGTGTTACCTATTTGGGGAGACATTGGTAAATTTCAGAGATTTCAACTGAATAGGAGATATATTAAGAAATAACTTTTATAGGGCACCACTTTAAATACTGTGAGAGACAAGGGAATTAATTTATCAATCTTTACAGTGACCCATGGCTTCTGTTTTATAGATAAGGGAAACAGGCCACAAGGTGTTCAAGTAGCATGTCCACTGTCACACAGCTGGCAAACGGGTGAGCAGTGGATTACCCGAGGAATGATAGCTGTAGTTTCTAAAGCCAGGCAGGATACTTGGTGCTTCATTGTGATTGATGATTAATAGTTCTGGTAGAACTATTAATATTAATTGAGAGAAAATATAGATTATCTTAAAATTTATAGTATCCTTCCCCAAAATGCACTAAATATGGTCAGATTAATACCCAGGAGGTTATAATAGAAGTTAATAATTTTAGAATATGTGAAGATATGATTGATAGCCAGAGAAAGTAGGAGCTTCTCAGAGGCTTCAAAGACACGGGTGATGTCGCTGAAGAAAAGACTGGTGTGGTGGGAAAGGAGGGGGATTTGATTGTAAAGCACATGTCAGGGCAGTTGACCACAATAAAAGAAAACTCAGTTAATGAAGGGGATAAAAAGTACAAACTATGTGTGGCAACTGTGCTATTTGCCTAAAGGGAGATAGGGAAATATTAGGTAAAAACTTTGCCGTCTGAAGTGACTTGGGCTCTTTATGTTCACGTGCTTCAGCACTGGAAAATCGAAAGTAGCTGACTTATTTAAGGAGCACTTGCTACAGTGTTGAGCAGCATCTTGTGCTGAGTACTTTATCACATTTCATCTTCACAGCTGCTCTTTAAGCATATGTACCAGTGCTGTTGCCATTGCCAATGAGGAAGCTGAATCCTGAGAAGTCAGGCTCCGGCTCTAGGCTGAGACGCACATCCATGGCTGAGCCAAGATGCAGTTGGATGGAAATTCCCACTCAAAACCCATGTTTCAGGTGGTTCTAAAACACGAATCCTAACATCCAAAATTAACACAAAAAAGTAATAGATTTCAGAATTTAAAAGATTGAGTATCCAATACAATTCTGAATCCTTGTTCTGCAAGTGTTTAATAAGAAGTTACAGAATTATCCATAAAAATAAGTCTAAATTCTTTAGGATGATTTGGTGGACTAGTAGTCAAGAGGAATGCTGCAGAAGCACTATTCATGAACTTAGGAACATTCATTTGATATCATTAAGGATGAAAATGGGCTCTGATCAAGATTTGCAATGGTATCAAAGGGGAATTGATTAATAAATGGATAGTAATATGGAGGGAGGGGGGGAGGTATGAAAGTGATCAAGTGCTGGACTGCATATGAATTTTAGGAGCACCTACTAACAGGGATTAATCTTTACTTCCTGAAAGAGCAAGCTTTTCGTCATCCGAACTGTTCTGCGTGAGAACTTGGCTTTGACTAGTCAGCCCCTGCGGGAGGACTATGGAACCTCAGTAGGAATGGTAACAGCCCCTCCCTGGAGGAGTGTATTCGAGGGTAAAGGAGACACAGTATAACAGGCTCAGTGCACGCAGAAAGTGCTGCAAATGGTCATCAATTTCCATTACCAGGTGAGCAGCTCCCAGGCAAAGTGCTGTAGAAAAGTTGCTTTGTCATAGAGAAATGGAACCAGACAATTCTAAATTGTCCAAATGATAAAGTCAAAGTTCCATGACTCAAACATCATAAGGTCAATAACTACATCTCCACAGTTTTCTTAAGCATAATTGCATCATTGTTATGAAAATGATTAGCCAAACATCGTGGTGTTTCTGGTCCATAAATAAACCCTGAATATACTAATCTACAGGTAAATGGCAGTGTGTGGGACGTGATCTATGTAAAGTAACTTAATACATACAGTTTATTGGAGGAAATACTATATTTTTCTCAAATTCTTACATTGGTATCTTAGTTAAATATAATATGTATGAGTGCTTTTATTGTCATTTCAGCCATGATTTATAAATACTGCTAGTATCAGAGCTTGTTAAATTTCTGAAAATAATATATGGAATACATATAAATGCATGTCTATATATAGTATATGTAATTACTTCTACAAGTGGTGAGACTTTGCATATTCTGAAATCATTAACAGCTCCCTGGAGCAGATAAATGACTTTAACTGGACTATAAAAACTTAGATACAGTTCTCATTCTGTCTGGCAAAAGCTGAAAAGGAGAGGGATGGTGACTTTTAATAAGTAGAGTTATCTTTCACTTTGAAATGCAAGCACATCTTCTAGGCCTCCTGACAAGTCCTTCCCAGTTTGTGTGAGTGGTAGCCGTGAAGCTACCAACCTTTACTCTGTGCTAGTCCCTGAAAAATAACCCCAGAGATAATTACTGCCAGAGCTGTATTTACCTCAGAGTAAATGGACAAGAAGGAATGTCCAAGTAACAACATCAAATGAAATAAGGTTGACCTAAGCTTACGGAACTTACGTAAATATTTACAATGGAGTTGAATTAAGAATATCTATTTAATAATAGCAGTTTTTATTATATGTGTCTGATGCCATACTAAAATTCATTACATTTAGGTAGAATTATTTACTGTGCACAACAACCTTATGAAGCCAATATATTGCCCACTTTATGTGTGACAAATTGATACTCACAGACCCAAGTAACCAAAACAAGGCAGGCGTTAAAGAAGAGGTCCGAAGCCTTGGGTCAGCATTCATACCCGTAACTGCTGCAACCACCATTGCTAAAAGCCAGAAAACTCCAACCTTGGCTGAGAAAGTAATTCTTGGTGTAGAAGACCCTCACCTCTGCACAGCAAAAGGATGCTGGAGATTATACGCAGCTGATTTATCTCAATGGGGCAAAAAGTGTGTGGTCATTCTTCATGGCATGTTCAGCCTGCTGCCTCTCTTCTTGTCAGGGCAATGGTCTGGCTTTAGTCTGAAGCTTTCTTTGGTGCGTCGATGACAGCCCATCTGTCAGAATGGCATTTTATTAGCTTGTGATATTTTTATAACCAACCCCAAATTTAGTAGCTTTTAGTCTTTGCACAAGTTTGATCTTTACAAAAAGGCTCATTTATCTGTAGAATGGCTGGATGGGGTATCAGAACTATTAAGTGAGAGATTACCTCATATAGTAATTTTCAGTTTGGTGTATTGCTATTACCTAAGGTATAAAATGGCTTTCAATGCAGGATGGCTATAAATGTTTAACATGTGTTCCTCACTTTAGCAGTCTCCACAATAACGGGAAAAAAGTAAAAATAATGTTTTGTGTTTATATAGTCACGTCTCCATGGAGCCCAGAGGCTTTAGTTAACAAGGTCTAAAAATGGCTCTGTTTTAAGGGTTCCATGGGTCGGGAGACTGACAGTGCACGGGGCTCTAGCAGGGCGAACATTGCCTGCCCAGAGCCTGAGGGTGGCTTCCCCCAGCCTTCGTGATCAATAGTGACCACAGCGAGCAACTGTTTTTGCTTGCAGAGACAAGCAGAATAACAAAAGAGTAGTTTGAGGACTCCATGTTGTACTAATTATTGGCATGCTGTGGTAGTATTGTGTATTACCTCCCTTTGTCTTAGCAGTATTGGAATGGTACAGACATACATTTTCTTTTGTTTAATAACTCTATTGCAAAGACTCACATGCCAAAGAATTGCAATTCTAAGAATGTTTTGAAGTGCTACAATTTTTATCTTTAAGATGAGTTGTTTCTTAAAGTTGAGAAGCAAGCACTGTAATGTTCCTGGCTCCTGACCTGTGACTTTAAGTGCCCGGCTGCCTGTTGATAAGTGAGGGACATGATCAGTGTGGTGATAAAATGGTCCATCCCAACTGTAAGTTTCCCACATCCACTTTCTCTGTAAGTCAGGACCCCTGGATAAGTGGTCAAGCCTGTGTGTGTGTGTGTGTGTGTGTGTGTGTGTGTGTGTGTGTACACAAAACACTGAGGAAGAATAGTCCCAGGTTGTATTAGTGGTTCTGAAACCTTATAATCACAGTCACCTTGGTGACTTTTAAAAAGAGCTTGCTGTACCCACCTCTCGTATTTCTGACTCAGTCATCCAGAGGGTCCTGAGAACTTGCATTTCTGAATGTTCTTATATGATGTTGACAATGCTGCCCATCAGGAGCAGTGTGAGAACCAATCAGACTTCTGCTTTACACTCTGCAGAGTAAGTCATAATTATGACCAGATGGAAGATAAAGGACAGCCAGGCTATGTCCCTGGGACATTCACGTGTGAGAGAAACAGTAAAAGAGAAGGGAACTAAGCCATTTCTTTTCCATCTGAGGAATTTTTATTCTAGTCCAAAATAAATACTAGTTCTATGGTCATTTTCAGTCTAGTGTCTCTGTTTGCGTTATATATATTTTTTTCTTTGGTACTAGAGATTGAACTCAGGACCCTGTGCTTACAAGACAGGCAGCAGCACCACTGAGCCAAATCCCTGGCTCTGCATTATATTTTTAATATTCACTCAATAAATATTTATTGGGCACTTATTCAACAAGGGCTTGCATGCAACAGAAAAAAAACAAGTGATTCTTTTCCCTGTGTAGTTGAATTTGCACTTGATGGTACTTCGCTTTGATGTATTCAGTGTATTTTATCATGTATCTTTTACCCTATCTTTAATTTTGCATATCGTCATTTTTCTCTCTTCCTATCTGTAGCACAAAGTTGGAAGTCATAAATATTTTCCTGACCATTGGTGGGGCCCTCGAGGTCCTGGGTCCTTCTGCTGGAAGTTGTTTCTTAGTACGACAGAAAGGATAAGTAAGTCATGGATATTTTTTGAAATGGTGTCATAGAAACTGAAATAATATGAAACTTATAGAAAAGCACATTTATCATTATAATTTGCTTCTATTTGATTACAAATAATATAGAAGCTATATATTACTCGCCGTGTTAGCACATTTTCTTAAAGTATTAATGACTAGTGATGCAAATGTGAATTAAAATAGCAACTTTCACACACTAATGATAAGAATTCTATTGAAATATGATGCGACCATGTACATTAAGAAATTTACAAACATGTTTTACACTTTCTGAACCAGTATCTCCATGGGGTCAACTCATAGAAATTTAAATGGAGATGCACTCAATAAATATACATTGCTATTTATTGTCATAGTACTGGTTCAGATAGCAAAATATTAAAAAGTAGTTTATATGTATTATAGGAGAGTTAGTTACATAAATTATGGTATATAAATAAAATATGTATGCACTACTTAATCAGTGAAAGGTGGTAGGTAAGAGAATGTAAGGATACAGGAAAGTATGACACATGTTTTAAAAATCTATGAAAGGTATGGTTTTCCCCCCAAATTTCTGAACTTAAGTGGGCAAAGGAAAATACTTGGCAGTAAGTACACCAGTCACTAACTGTGCCTCTTTCTGGATTATATTACATCTTTCTCTTTGCAGTTGACCACAGTTTTAAAGCTAAGTCTAAAAAGCACGTTGTTTATATTATATGACATGGAAAGGTGTGTGCAAAGAAAGGTGACACAGCTGACATCTCATCCATAGAGCAACTTCTTGGGGACCATTCATGGACACCCAAGGACTCAGAGCCCTTTAGGAGCAGCAGCGCTCCCAGTTTGGCTCTGCGTTGTATGTGACCATGACCAGTGTCACTCTCTTGCTGCACATGTGTTTGTTTCTACAGAGGTGTACATGCACAGAGATGTACATGCTACAGAGGTGTACATGCTACAGAGGTGTACGTGCACAGAGGTGTACATGCTGCAGAGGTGTACGTGCACAGAGGTGTACATGCACAGAGGTGGACATGCTGTACATGTGTTTTATTCTGCAGAAGTGTTTCTCTTCGCCAGAGAGAAAGAAAAGAAAGCACAGTGCCTGAGTGGAGCCTGTGTCCACGAGGGCTGGGCAGTCGTAGATCGTGCCTCCTAAGCATGTCAGGCTCTCTGGGTACAACCGTTTCTCACAGATGTAGTGTTCAAAAAGTATTTCCAAGAGAAGAGTTTCCATGGTCCTCACATTCACGTCCATGACCAAATCCTCCTCATGATGCAGTAAGCCCGTGACTTACGAACAAGTTCTGTTCCAGGAGAGTCCGGGGTAAATTGGACTCTGTAACCCTGCCCTGACCCTGGCGCACAGACTGAGCCTTCCACAGCGCACCTGTGAGCGTGCACTGGGCAGGTTCTCAGGTCGGGACTGGCTGTCCTGCAAAGCCCTGCTGAGGTGTCCCCACGCGGTCAGGAACGGACTGACCATCTACTGCTGTTTTTCTGCAGTAGGTTTTCTGATTTCCCCATTCTACAGACAGGATAGCTGGGGCCTGCGGCTTGGCTGCCAGTCAGCCCTGATCACGCGGCTGGGAACAAGCAGCCCAGAGGCGTGCTGCTCCGATCGTTCCAGATTTCTCTTTTAGTACAGGTTTGCAGTTTGCGTTCGCCATGGGGAGGGGACCTGTGCCTGATGCAGCTTGGTTTTCTTCTAGTCCCTTTCCCCCAACTGCTCTCCTCCCTCCCTCGACCCCTGCGTCATTTTCACTCTTGTTGCTGTTGCTACTCTAACGCGTGCTCGAGACATAGACTGTAACGCTGACATGCGTTGGTGTGGTCATCCTAGTTTCATTTTATCTGACCCAAACCTCTCATAGTGTGAAAACACTCCCCGCACACCCGTGTTGGGGTTTTAGAGTGAAAACGCATTCCTTTCACTCCTGCCTCAAGTTCAGCACCCGAGTGTCAATTCAGCAGCCTCCGAGCAGGGCCTGGCCACCCCCTTCGCCACCACTACAGAGGCCAAGGCTGAGGGAGTCACCATCCCCATGTCACAGCGCGAGGTCCCCACAGCGCGAGGTCCCCGCTGCACCCCGTCATTATTGGTTGTGTTAAGATGCAAGAGGAGTTGATTTTAAAAGTGGCCCTGTTGTTTTTGGTGCTTAAAGGCAATCATGATGTAGAAGACCTGAAAATACAGCACTGACGCTAAGTTCAGATTGCTTTGCGTGACATATTTTTAGTAGATTTCCAAGGTACATTATCAGTACGAGAATTGTATTTATGAAGAATTCCTTCCATAAGTCTTCTTAAAAAAATCTCTCTTCCCTTATGCGATAGTACACAGCAATTAATGAGGTTCTAAAACATAAAAACAGACTCATTTACCGCTTTTCTTATATATCTTAAATTATATGAGGGAAAAGCTTAGAAAAAATCAGTGAATAAATTAGTGTAACGTGAGATAAGTTAAAATCCTTCCATGGTAGTCAGTGTTTTCCAGTTTTTCCTTAAAGGGCCAGGGTTATGACTATATGAAAAATGATAATATCATTTGAAAACTTTGGAACTAGCATGCAAGCTTTGTATAAAAATCTAAAATGAACGCTTTACTAGTGTAAGGCTCATATTCCTTGTTCCTTTAAGCGTATATGGCCTATTCACTGTCTTTAAGGATGGGCATGACTGGTTTTCACAGTGTCTAATATATGTTCTGTGTGCAGTGAGAAATCTAACATTCAGGAAACTGATTTCTGAATGTTTGTGTGTATAAAGTTTCTGTGTGATTCAACATTTGGAGTCAGGTTTCTTATTCAGTGATTTTGGGGGGTGTTTCACATTGAAGGGAATAACAATTTGGGGAGATTATCAGATGTTCAGTGTGCAGTGCAGTGAGAAATTCCCCTATTTTCCAGCACTCGATGCTGCTAAATCACCATGTTGTGGAATTTCACGGTAATGACAATCAAATTGGTGGTACCACGAGACAGCTAGTTTTGCACTCAAACACAGGCTTTAATGGCCTTGAAAATATTGCCTTCTTGTGAGTATATTTTCACAGGACCTCATTTATAAACACACATATGAACCATGCACAAAAATCACATAAACAGGAACTGCCTGTCTATGAGGGCATCCTTACCCTTTCAAGGCAGAATTAGTGATTCTTCCAATTGTTTCCTCATGATGTTTGGTGCATTGTGCTGCAGCAGCACTTTTTGTGTGGTATTAAATGTATCTATGTATCTTCTTTCTCTCTTGAAATATGGATTGCTTGAAGGCAGCAGCCAATTCCTATTTACCTCTATCCCTCATGTACAATGACTGACACACCATTAGGCTTATAGTATGACTGTTGTTCCTTTTAATTTTGAAATTGCTAATAAAAATAGAGATAGGATTGATATTCCTGAAGATGTGTGCTTTCTTCAGTTTCTGTAGAAATTTCAGAGACTGTCAAGAAGGGGATTCTAGGCAGGTGTGAATGAAGGGAGGGTTTGAGTGACATTTTATGCTTAGGGGATGGCAGAATGGTAGGAGGAGAGGCATAGAGGCCTGAGATTGTGATATGTTTGTGTCTATGTCGTGGACAGGAGTCAGGTCAGATATAAGGGGTGGATGGCTTTCTGCATGAGGTTACCGGGAGTAGACTGATGAGCATCCGAGGTTGCTGAAGATTAACCTGGTGCAGCTGTATTTTATAAGCAGAAAGAAGGGAAGAGAAGGGTGATGTTCAGCTCGCTGCCTCCTGGAGAACAGACTCTCCCTCAGCTGTGAAGGCATATTTAAGAAGTTAGGATACAAATAGTATGAGAATGCATGAAGAGATACAAAATGTAGATTCTCTTGTTTAGAAAAGTTATCCACAGTGGCGTTTGCTTTATTTCCTTGTTTATTGTGCTAGGAAGGACTAGCAAGGAGACTTGTAACCTAGAAATGCAAAGATTTACAGTGAGTTAAAAAATGAGAGTCACTGCTTTTGAAACTTGGCCTCCTGAAAGCTGTGTGAACACCTGTGTATGCAGCAGCTGATGTAAACCCTACATTTTATTGAGTATCCAGTATATGCAAGCACATATTAGACCTTTCCATGTGCTGTGATGGATAACACTGTGAAATAGAAAATTGTAGCCTAGTTTTAGACATCATCATTACAATCATAATGATAATACTAATGTTTTTGCTGTAAAAAGACTTGCTGGAATCACTTAACTGAGGAAGTACAGTATGGAGCCAGAATCTAATTCCACTGTGTCCAGCTGCACGCACTTTGGCATCTCAGAAGCAACCCTGGAAGATGAGCTCCCCTGAGCCCCAGTTTAACACATCACATGGCGGTGTGAAGCTGAGTCCTCTTCCCTAAGGGAGAGCTCAGCTTGAGCCCCAGTACGCTGTGGCTATCCAGGGATCCTCTTGGATCCTCCGGTAGAAGACAAAGCCACCGTAAATCCCAAAGCTGTGTCGGTCACTTGACACTTCTCACCTGAAGCTTGCTTCCATCTTCCACACTTGGAACCCTTTTTCCTACTGTAGCTTACATGAGTTTCCTAAAATCCAAATCTTCTGTCAGTTCTTAGCTCAAATACTCCAGCGTGTCACATATCTGTTTGAATGTTGTGCCC